GGGGGGGAGGGGGTGTACGTGTAGTGAAAAGGGGGTGTATGTCTAGGAATTAGGGGGTGTACGATTAGTAACTTAGTCCCCTAAGATTATTATCACCATTTCGAAAGAACGGGTACAAGTTAGACGGGAGAACATCGGGGCAGCAAACTAAGAGGTGAATCGGCCTTTGAAGTTAAACGTCAGAATATATAGTGGCGAGGTAAATTGACTACATATGCTATAGGGAAAGACAAAATGTACTAAACAATAGCCAGAAGAACTAAAAAGGAGAGACTAGTGAAGACGGCTTTGACGGAATCCCCCCCATTCAAAAACTGAAGCGACGACTGAATACTTGGTAGCCCGATGACATTGACGCTTGGAAGTGACAGCCTACTGGTGCCGGTCCCGCCCCATGCAGTTCCAGCAGTTGGAGCAGTCCAATGTGTTCCAACACCAGTTGAAACTGCTTGAACAGGAGAAGGCGTCCAGTTGTGGGCGGAATCAGACCAATCGAAAATGGTGTTAAATGAAGAGATGCTGGTAGCACAGCGATTTCCAGCAACGGAAGAAATGGTTTTGGATGATTGAAGAGAGGTTATCAGCAAGCTACCGCTCGTAATTAACGAGAACCTAATAGTTTCCTTCCTGGAATCGGACGGCTTTGCATTTACAAGGAATTCGTCCATATTTGATCCCGGATTGATTGCAAAAACCATGCCTGCATGGCAATGAGAAAGGGGAATTTCTTGTCGACAGAAAAACCACTGGGGATTCGAATTCTGGATAAGAAAATCTAAAGCATAGTCGGTGCGATTTTGGGGGTTGAAGTGGATAAAACCCGTGTCGAATACGTTATTCGGAGTGCATGGGTCCTCTAGGGATGACTGGGACAGTGTGTGGTTGAGTTTGAGGAACTTAAAGTGAATTACATCCCCTACTGGTGCAGAGATGTAAGTCGGCGAGAATATAAGATTGCCTTGTCCTCCGACTTGGACAAGATGTGTTGTGGATGGTGGAACCGTAGACGTCTGGATAACCTCGACACCAACATCAACGTTAAGCGAGCCTGGGGTGGCTAGTGTGTCAATTGCTAAAGCAACGTCATCGGGCCTAATCACCAATGTTATATGGAGAAGCGGTTTCAAAATACTGGCAGCAACTTACCGCACTTCTATAGAGATATTCTCACCACGAATATTCCTAGCAAGACACAGAGCAGAAATGGCCCAATATATCTTCATCTTGGAGGGTTGCTTTTGATTAACGGTCCAGGGAGTGTAGGAGTATCATTAAGATGGCGCGACAGAAGGTTTATTAAGATTCATTGTCCGGCTAAAAATAGCCTGAGGCTATATTTATCTAATGCGTTTTTAGTTCTCCAAAAATACATTAGGCATGAAGGTAGACGATTTAGCCGCCCAACCGGCACTGTTGGACGCCCACCAGGCACGCCGTCAATATAAGTGCACCCACTAATGCTCCTCTACCAACTATGCCAGTTCAATTCCTCCTGAATAGCCCTCGATTACGCAGAAGCCGTCGACTCCCACAATCTCCGTATCCTCCTGCTATGCCTCTCTCTCGCATCGACGAGGAAGCGTCTCCATCCCCAATCTCTCCATACTACGAGGCAACCTCGCCCCCGTATAGTTGGTATGAAGATCCTTCTGACGCCGAGAGATCCCACGAGGGACAGGATGAGACGCCCTATGAGGTACAGAATGACGTTGTACCTGTCCGTCCTCAACCACTAAGATCTTCCCGTCGCGAACCTGGAGTCACTACGGCCGATGTAACCAACCAGGGACATCCCAGCATCCATGAGAATGGAAATGGAGAAGAGGATTGGGAGGTCCAGGAGATTGTTGCACATCGAACGACAGAATCGAAAGTGGAGTATAAAGTTGTGTGGAAGGACACGTGGGTACCTAAGGAGGATCTTAACAACGCCAGCGATGCCATTGAGCTCTACTACGCTCGCTCTCGTAGGGCGTCTATGCTTTTGACGATTAACGAGGATAAGGAGGATAAGGAGGATAAGGGGGATAATGAGAGGGATGAGAAGGAAGATGAGAAGCATGCGGAGGATGACACAGATACTAAAAGGAAGAGAAGATTCTCTCAGATTATGTAGATACAATCTATTTGCCAAATTCTCCCAATCCATCACTCTATCTCACCTGCGCGATGATCGAACGGGGCGTGGAGGTACCCAGGGACTACTTCGTGTTGTTGAAATTGAGGCAGGCCAGGGCTCATTTATTGGAAGGCCACGCCGTTGTCGGCGCCTTATCGTGAAACCTGCAAATCCCATCCCTACGAATAGTGCGACAGCGACGCCGATAAAGACCCAAACGCTATCATCTAT